GCTGGGAGCACCTATTCATTGATATTCCTTAGTACGCAAACTCTGCTCTCGGTTCAAATGTTCTTTTGAGATGTAAAGATGACACGCTGTTTCCCCCTTTCAGGAAAATGTTGAGATTGTACGGAGTAGTAGATGCGTTTATGATATAGTCTTCAGCTAACTACCATAAGCACTTCATGGTAGTTTTGCGTCTACCTAGTTGCTCCCAGTGGCAAGTGGAAATATTTCCCCAGAGATCTAGCTTGAGGTCATATGTATCTTCTTTGATTGAATGTTTTCAAAGGTGAATAAATGAAATAGGCCGTCATGTACGGGAGGCTAAGTGAATATGAAAGAGTGACAGGGGGCATAGAAACTTATAATAGAAGACGTGTAGTAAGGTATACACTTGTAGACTGTGTGAATAGTCCTTCAGTCTCTTGATGAATTCTCTTGCGATTGCTCCGCTCTTGCATGTTACTAAGCTTTAAATTAGCAGTCCAATTCAACCCGTTCAATTCATTCCCAGATTCACTCCCAGATTCATTCCTAGAGTGCCCCACCCTCCCACGATCAATGTCTGTTGACAATGTATAAAGGAGGTATGCCGCATCCCTCTCCCCTTCTAAACTTTCAACAACATCAAACCATCTCAATCTCAAACAAACAATTAACAAACCTCAATTCTTCCATCGTCCTTTCGATCTCAAGCAACCAACCGTCACCATGAAGCTCACTTCAATCATCCTCGTCTCCCTCGTCTCCCTGGCCACCGCCGCCCCCACCGTCGTCAAGATCCGCGGCTGTGAGCCCCAGTGCTGTGGTTCTCCCTTCTGCCGCGACGAGATTGCCGCCTTCCTTGCTGCCACCAGCCCTACCATCACCGAGCGTCAGGATGATGGTCACCACAAGGGAGTCACCGAACGTCAGGATGATGGCCACCACAAGGGCCTCACTGAGCATCAGGATGACGGCGACCATCACTCCTAAGTCTTTCACTTCCTTGAACTCACAGCTGCTAGAAACTTTCCGGTCCCGACTGTAAGTCCCTCCCATCCCCTCCCCTCCCATCCATTAACAGTTTCGAGCACCCTGCTAACCACAACCACAGATCTCGCCAAAGTCCTCTCTCTCACTTTCCGAAGTTGCTGTGCGTGGATCGATAGACTGACCTTCGACTTGGGGTGTGGTTTCATTTTCGGAGTTGACGGATAGGGGTTGGCAGTGGCAGTCAGTTTGCTACCATTGAATGAATGGGATGGGACTTCACATCAAATGGGCCTCGTCGTATCAGATCAGATGAATCAATGCAATGAATTTCCAGACAAACAAAAAGCATAATAGGCGTCTTCTTAGTGTTTTTGGCTTGAGATTTTGAAAAGTAACTTTGTTTATTCTGTGCGGAGATAGTTCGGGTTGCGACGCAACTTCATTTCCCAGAGCAACTTCTGGATGCCGCTGAGAGTGAAAGCAGTTGGAGGATTTGCCTGGTTTCATGCAACGACTACAGAATTTCTCACATGAGACCCAAATCAATGGATTGTCTAGAAATGAAAAGACGTACAAGGAGCATCTACAGCTTTAAAGCTCATGCTGTTCAAAGAGGTCTTCCTTCATTGAGGGTCCTTTAAAGGAGACTAAACGGCGTTCGTGCAATAAATACAAATAGATGTCAACTTCACGTGCAAGTAAAAAGCGTCCTCCCAAAAAACCGTTGGGCTAGATTAAAAAGCATCATATATTCATAACCCCATCTATATACCTGACTTCTCGCTCTCAATCTCCTGCTGCAACTCTGAAAGCGCCTGTTGACGAGACTTTAAGTGTGCCTCCAATCCATCAACTTGTTCCTTAACCGTAGCAATCTCGTCAGCAACACCTTTCAGGCTTGCTCCGACTTTGCTTTTGCCATCCCCAGTCTCCAAATCCCGCAGTTCTCTTCTCTTATAATCTAACAGCTGCTCTAGCTCCCGCTTAACAAGGGCTGGCTTGGTATCACGTCGTCCACCATGTCGAGTCGCCGATGCAGCTTCCACTTTATCGATCTTCGCTTCTAATTCAGCCAACTGTTTCTTCAACCTGACCTCCTCCCAATCTTCCGTAGTTTTCGTGGCCGAGAAATCTGTGCCTGCCGGTGTATAGCTTCCCTTTCCACCAACGCCCATACGACTCAGATACGTCTCCCCAAATTTGGCTTTCCTGCCCGTACTTGTTTCCTCGCCGCCTGTCGTACCCCATCTCTGTGCTGGCGACGACGTTCGCTGGTGGTCGACTTGATAGTCGATTTGGTTCCGCTCGAAACTTGCACGGAGGGAGGGGGGTATTGTTCGCGGGATGCGGTAGCCTTCGTGGCGGTTGTTGAGGATGTGGAGGAAGGCTAGACAGGCGTCTTTTGAGATCGCTGGGGATGCGGAGGGGTTTATGAGGTTCCAGGCTGATCGGATGTCGGTGTCGGGGACTTCAAGTGAGGAGTAGAGGGTGTCTAGAGACTCGACTGTGTGAATGTTAGTAGATGTAAGGTTCAATTGAGGAGCAAGTTCCTGCTCACAGGTGATATCTCCCCTCCTGTCGCGGTTCGCCGAATATATCTCCTCGTATTTTGACTTATCAGACGGGCTCATATACCAGTCAAAGCCGTCCTTCAGCCCTGGGGAATCATCTTCATCTTCAACCCTTTCAAATTGAACTTGTTTCCCTGTAAGAGCCCGATTCGCCTGTACTAGATGGGCTTTCGATTCGGGAACCAGCCAGTCTGGCAATTGTGGTGGTACGTCCGCATATTCCTATCAACCTGTCAGAAGTCTGCTCCTTCATCCAAGACTCGCAGGTATCACATACTCCATTGACAAGGTCAAAAATCAACCGCATAGCCACGCAGAACTCCTCAAAGTCCAAATTCCCGTCATTGTCAACGTCGGCCAAATCCCATATCCGCTCCAGCTGGTCGTCCCGCAATTGAGAGTTCTTCAACACAGGCGCAGCTTGAGAACCTGTGAGATGTGTACCGCCATTTGAGAGAGACGCGAATATTTCCCAGTATTTCTCGATTTCGCTCTGTTCGATGCGCTTGTTCGACATGTTGGCCCGGAAGGCTGGGACCCTGGTTCTCCCACGGCGAAATAGCCGGTCACCTCAATCCAGAAGTACTGTGGATAGCGGTACTGGTGACTGTACAGGATGATGTGTTTTGCAATTCTGGATTGCAGTGCCGGCGATCAGTGGTGCAGGAGCTGGCCGGACTGGACTGGGGAAGCTTCGAAGCTGACGCTCGCAAGTGGGGAAACCTCGGGGCTTGGCAGGCGCTAGTCATTAAGGGTTTAAAGCATCAGCGCTCTTGCTCTCTCCATCTTCTCTAACATCCAGACAATAATTTCTACAATATGCACAAGTGCGTGTAGTGTATTAATATCCTTGAAACTTCTTCTATGCGCATGTCACTTATCCGTGAGAAGTCCTCACATTCGCGTCTTCAACCTCATGGAAAGCGTGGTGGGTTGCACCTGCCCCCCTTGCTGCTTTTCTCAACTCTTCGTCCTTTCGTATGTGCTTGGATTTGTCGTACCGATTTCCCAGTCTTAAGGAAGTTCTTTTGCTTTTAACGTGGTCGTTTGGTCTGGAATTATGCAAGTAACACTCCAGTCCATCTGACTTAGTTACTCGCAACATATCAGGATCTCAGCCTCAGCATCTAGAGCACAGCTTTGCTAGCCTCATTTCACTGCGTAGTCTTCCCTCTAAGTTAGAGGGTTCACAAACACAGTTCAGCCATGTGTAGAGTAGAAGGCTGTCAGAAGTGAACCTATTAATAGCCGAATGCTAAAGAAGTCTTTCCTACCCCCCACCGTTACTCCCCTTTCTAGGCGAAAGTTCGTTATGCTGTCTTCTAGACAAGATGTTGCAAAAACCATGTTGATATATGCGAAGGTTATCCAGTAACCTCTGTATGCAGCATTCATAAACTGGTATCAATTTCCCAATAAAATCCAGTAGGCGATAATTTAGGCTGGAGTTATTTTTGTTGTTCCTTGGTATAATCGGCCCCCCCCCCCCCCCACCCAAAACGAGGAGACCACCGATTAAGCGCCGCATATGCGAGGTGTACCCATCTGAGCTGTACGCCGATATTTTTAAGACATTCTCTATGCTCGTTCGTGTTACCCTTACTGACCAGTCCTGTAAGTTCTTGGTGTCGATCATTATCACACAAGGGTTCCTCCATAATTTCTGCCCCCAGGAATCAAAATAATGAACCCCTGAACATTCCCACGCTTTGAACGCCCACAATGTCTTCTTATTTTTTAACTCAAATATGTATCAGAATTTCGGCATGGGGGATCAGAATACCTCAATTGCAAATCTTCCCCCAGGATATTCGACAATTGCTGGAGTATTATATGCAGCAAGTTCAACAGAAAGAAACAACTGGGATATCGTCGTATGGAACCATGTTGCCGCTGCATTTGATCATCCCCATTGGCGAGGTAGGTGGACAGAAGATGAAGATGAGCGCCCAAATATTGCTCCAAATCATTTACAGAGACAACTTGTCGACGCACTCACGCACTGCATCACCAAGCATTCGCGGCATCTTTACGAGTACTGTAAATCTTGCGGCTCTGAAGCCAATCATAGACCCAAGGTCGTCGACTGGGTTGCTGCATTGCATATAGTGTCTATATTGTGCTGCCCTCCAACTTCGATGCCAGAAGACTCGCAGATCGCCAATCAACGCAACTTTCGAATTACGAATGACACAACGCCTAGTTGTACAGTTCACGAGCATAATAAAGTGTCCAGAGAGGTGGTGTTAGAAGTCCATATGGTTGGTCGAAGCAAACGAAGCACGTTACACCAAGTCGAGTGTACTCGTACATGGCTTCACGAAGCACTTCAATGCGAGGAGATACGATATTATCTCACGCCTCTTGATAACTTAAGCCTCTCTATCGGACGGATCGACGAATGGCCAGCTTTTGACTCATATATGAGACCCCCAAGAGGTCATATTGTTCATGTACAAACGGCCGGTAACGTTGCTATCTTGCTCGTGGAAACCGCCTTCAAGAGTATGGAGGCTATACTTGCCACGGCCATCGTTACTGGATCCACAGGAGGGGCATGGCTTGGTATCACCCTGGCATCACTGTTTCTAATGCGCCGCGCAGCGGGCCTCTTTCCAAGCTCATACGGCCAAGTCCAGCCTCGCAATGGAAGCTCTATATCTGACGAGAAGCTAGATCTTCCCCCCGCCGGCATGGTTTGGGGGTTCGCTTATTCCATTCATGCAAGAGGATGGACGGATGAAAGTAGAATTGCAGTTGGATACATAATTATGTATGGCATGCTTGTGTTGGTTCAATGGTTCAAGATCCCCATCCGTCAGACATTGACATTTGCCGAGTACTACCCCACACGAGACGCTGTTCGATATGTCGTGTTAGGCACCGAGATCTTAATTGCAGTGACGATATCCACGAGATTGTACCGCCAGTCGACCAAGCGAAATATGAGACTACAACTCCTGCCGGCCTTGGTATATGTGGTATGTTTTGGATGTACCTTTGTGGGTTTAATCCTCGCGCAACACAACTTTGTTGGGCTGCTTAGCAGCTTCATGATTTTCTCGAGGGTTGTGGACCCTATAGCCACGATTGTGAGCTTGGCCGCGATGATGTTTGGGAGAGGTGAAAGCACTGCAAATAAAGTTCCGGACGGGAATTATAGTCCTTCTCTAGGACGGCGAGAAGATTCTCGTCAGAGTAATACAGGTAGAGGTTACATTCATATAGATTAGAATGACTACTGAATTCTATAGGGGAACTAAAAACGAATGAAACATCCACCATGACTGCGGACATGTCGGTAATGATGTGGGCAGTTGGAATAGGCAGTAGTGTCTTTTGACGACAGAGGAACTAGCACCAGAACCTCAAGAATGTTAACATTGTGTTTTGCATTATGTAGTATGTATCATGGTATCTAAGGTAATATAAATTAAAATTTCAAAGCTTGGCCTGGCGCTGCTTGTTTTGATAACGACGCAAAACGGCCGAATACATAGCCATGGGAAATGGCTTATCCTTCACATCCCAAAACTCATCATCACCACCTATCACCCGTTTCCGATATCCCTGCACGAACCGTCTCAATAACAACTCAGCCTCATTGCGTCCCGAACTGTGCTTCGGCCATTTGGCACGAAGTGCATCAAAGTCATCCCCGATGAACAAACCGACCGTCTCGGTACAAAACAATAGCTGGTAGGCTTCTAGCGTCAAGAAGGGGCTGTATACAAGCGTTGTCTCATCGATATATTGCGCTGCTTCGCCTAATTCTGTTGCTGAGGGGGTGGAGAGGATATGCACGCCTAGGCTTTGGAGGAAAGTCTGGTCGTTTTTGGAAAATGATGGATCTTGCGCGTATATCTCGACTTCTGGATTATAGAGTCGTAGTTGTGTGGCAATGGCGAGGAATATTGTTAATTGTTTTATCCTCCGGGTTTGGTCTGCGGATTTAAAACTGCCTAGACCTAAGGATACGATTTTTGTGACAGTAGGTCGGGTTTTGGATTCGATTAGGTGGTTTATTGAAATTGAGAGATTTGATTCAAGGTAGCGGGTTCTGGTTATATTGTATAAGATGTGAAGTTGCTGGATGTCCCGAGATGATGAGGCTTTGGGTTTTGAAGTTCGTTTTGATTGGGTGGATTGTTCGATTTCCATTGAGTGAGGCATGGTTATCTATAGAACTAGCGCTTGTCGTTGTTTGATGCTCCATCTTCAAATCCAGCACGGCTGAGTCCTTATAATTATACTCCATCGTGAAATCTTTTGCTATAAAAAATCTCGGTGCTATACAATGACGTACGTGTATGTTGTTCGGATTTTATTATTCGTTCCTTGGTGTTGTGTTCGATGTGCTGCAATCGTATCTTGCACAATGGTGGATTACAAATGTGCATGCGCTTATAAATACAACGTCGGGATTGTGAGGAACTGAAAGTTCGTAGAAGTCACCGAAAAGACGGCGTTAATATTTAGGGCACCAAATCTGTTATGCGTCAATTCGTCTTCTTAGGTTTCTTCGGATTTATTGTCTTTATTCTTAGTAATGTGTAAGAACGAATAATTCGAGGAAGTGGGGAGCTCCAGGTATCAAAGTTACCTCCGTCCGGGATACTAAAGCTGAGTGACCTTTAAACTATGAGAGTGAAAATTGAGACAATTCTAAGTAAGGGAAAAGAGAAGACATCAAAAAGAGGAACGGCAGACAGAGTTGTGACTTAAGCTGTCAAGTGATTTCGAGTCATATAAATCACGTGAGTCATATACTCTTTTGGCAATCCTTTGTTTTTCTAGACACCAAGGGACTAGGAATGACGAACAACGGTTGCAAAAAGGGGGCTTCGATGAGGCAAAAGGAGTAAAGTAACGTATAAAAGCTGAAACAACCATAAAAATTTAACGGAAGCGACGACTTGACCTATTAGCAGCACTAGGCCGCATAGCAATAACAAGGGGGAAAGGTTTGAATTAACTCTAGATTATCTATCATATAACTTCCTTGCAAGTGGAATTCTAAAGCCAAGTAATCTTCGCCATACTGACATAATTTGCACAACTAGCATAACTAACCAAAAGAGTCTTGCCCGTCGGATCCCATCCAGGGTGCGCGTGACCTTGGTAATTGAAATTGAGCTCCGGTGCGGCAGCACACTCAGGAGGAATTGGCGGTGTCCAAATGGCTGTAAGAAGTTAATAACGGAATTTCACATACACGCATGGAAGATTGGAAGACTTTTGGCAGCAGATGGGACTGCTTTCAAGACTTTGACTTACCGACAGGCTTACTCCAAGGGCGTTCTACCTCACCACTTTCCACATAGCTGCATAACCCCAGAGTCAGCAACTTTTCAGAAGATTGAAGTACAAGGAATGTGAGATTTTGGGGGAGGAAGAAGTAGTGCTCTAGACGTTTCGTACCTGAACCAAAATGTCGCATCTATACCCGCATCGTTCCACATCTATGAGACCCAAGGAAGTCAGAATCTCTTCATGTTCTTTTTTGGTGAAACATCTCCAACAGGAAATATGTGTCCGAACGCTTACCATCACTGTCGTTTTGTGGTAGTTATCATACCAGACATCACCTACATTTGGCCCAAGTAAAGTTCCATTTTTAGGGCCTTCTACAATCAATGGTACGCTCCAGGTGATGATATTTCCTGTTGCATCATTTTTGGTGAGAGGATCTATTTGCCATGATTTCGTCGCAGAGTTATAATAAGTATACTGATTCCGATCTGCGATGCTGCTAGGCGTACTTGGTGTCCTGGCCAACTTTATCCCCGTCACATCGGAGCCGTACAAATACAGATATCCATCAGGCTTTACTTCTAGAGCAAAAGTACCATACTATAGACAACACGAAGTCAGCAATTGCTTTGCCGAAAGAATTTCTCAATCAAACAAGCCATCTTGAATCGTAGATTTCCCCTTTTCATTACTTACGTATACCTCGTTCGCGTAGAAAAGTCTTCCATTACCGAGGCGTTTGAACGGAGGGCTCTCTCCTGGTGCAATAGTCTCGGGGTCTGTGACGTTCATCTGCACCATCGTGTTGTAGAAGTCTGTGCTAGTCCCTTCATTCAAACACGGGAATACTCCCAAAAGAGTTTGCCCGTCCGGCATTGGGGTCATACCGCTCAACACTAAGGGTTCTTAAAGTCAGCTGTTGCTCCTACTAGATTGGCATCATCTTATGGAAATACAGCACTAATTGCTTCACAAGATCCAAAGAACTCAGGTCTATGACATGATCTGGACATAGAATTTCTCTAAATGTCTCAAACATCTAAAACAATAGAGGCGTTGAAAATGATCTTTACGAAGCCGACCCGTCGTATGTATTAATATCCGTGAGTTAATCCCGCAAAGCAAATATTGCAGGATTTGCTTCCTAGTTGAAGCGAGATGGGCGTAATGAGAGTCAAAACTGTTCGAGATTTCTTACTCCAGACGGCAAATATAGGGCCAACATCAGTTTCATTCCCTTCCGGTCCGACAGGTACAATGCCGCTAAATATGGCTTCGCCTTCTAGTCCCTTCATACCGAATTGATATTGTTTTATGGGATTTCCTGGCTCTCTCTGATCATGACATTAGTACTAGCGGCGCAATGGTTTGAGAAGACTTACATAGCCAAAATAAGCAACAGAGTTGTGCACAAAATTAAAGCCGCTTGAGTTCGTAGCCGAGTCAGCGAAGATCTGGACATGGTACCCATTTGTACTAGCACCGCCTCCACCATCATGATAGATGCCCCCATCGTTCAAGACGGGATCAGTGACCCAGCCAAGATCTCCAATCGAAGTCGCTATGAGAGGGAGGTGATGGCCGTAAGTTACTACCGAGAAAGCAACAGGTATGTTGAAGACGGTGTTGTAGACTAGGAGCACTATCGTGATAACGCAAACAATCGCGGCAAAACCTAACGGGACCCTTGACGTTGAAGACAACATCTCCTCATGAACCCAACTATGTGAGAGAAGAGCTCACTCAATTGCCGCTTGTTTTGGGCGAATAAAGACAGACGCATCATCTGCTTAGATGCAATCTTACCTACCTAGGTATCTTCAAATTTCCCTAGTGTCCCCCCCACACCCCGCGTGATTGAACCGAGGCTAAATAGAGGCTAGTCTTCTCCCCATCCCGCTCCGCCACGTGCAAATGTCGCTTAGTTCTACTATCCGAACCCCTTTTTGACCACACCCCTTTTTCTACAAATAGTAAGTACGTAGGCAGAGCACCTCTCCCAGCCTTGGGACAACAACCACTAAAGCTATACGTAATCCCATCGGCACACTTTTTCATTACGAGATAATTATAATCCTACTTTTCAGACTTGGAGATGGACAACTTCACATGCTAAACATTTCAGCGTCTTGTCCTAGATTGCATTGAACCACTTCAGCAACTGCAATATGATAAAAAAACTTTGTTGATCAATAAGAATCGATAGTCAGGTTGATTATTGATTGTCTTACCACTGGATGTCTGCTAGTGGTATGGAGAAACGAATGAGAATTTAACTAGAGTGCCAATACTATAAGAGACCCCAGGACTACCCGATAGATGCAGAAGACACGCAAATTGCAACGCTGAATAACCCGAGTCTAGATTTTGCTAATTAGCGGACAGTACATTTAAGAATCACTCACATCACATTTCTAATTTCACAGATCAACAAGCTGAGAGGGGGATATTAAGTTCATAGAGTATCATTCATAGCGTACTATAGTACCGTAGTACTAAAGCCTAGCCATCACATCATTAAGAAATTCCATCATAACGCCGATACGATGCATAAATTGACCCAATGATTGCCCCCATTCATGAACGGGCACATGGTGAAAACATTGGTATTTAAAAATTATCCCCGCACTCCCTCTCATCCCAACTTCCCATTATGTAAATCATGCAATGCCAGTCTTCTCGGCATGTCCCTCAGGTAGCACATCAGCAAGCGTCTCACCCGTGCCAACCAGATCTTCTTCGACGGTGACATGGTCCTTGACCTTGAACCAGATGACGGGCGTGGCGCAGACGAGGGAGAAGAGTAGGAGACCCCAGGTCGAGGCGAACTCAGCCATGAAGGAGATCTTGCGGGAGTCGAGAGACCAGATGACGGCTGCGCCCGCGGATTGGATTCCCTTGTAAAATCCGACGTAGTTGGCGGCGCGACGACCAGAGTTAGAGAGTGCGCCCATGTACCTGGTTTCTTGTTAGCAAGTTTCGTTTACAGTTGTGGTGGAGGAAATCTACGTACCAGTAAACAGCCGCTTGCCAGACGGAATCGTAGAACCCGTAGAAAAAGTAAAGGAACATGGGACCGGCATAACCAGACGTTTTCCAATCGGTAGGCTTGAAGTCCGTGACTGGTCCGACTTTGGGATCTGTGTTGACGGATTCACGAGTATATCCCTTGGCGTAATCGTATCCACCACCCCAAATAGCCAGGGTGAGGACGAAAAGAAGACCGAGGGAGAGCTTGGCACGAACCGAACGGCGGACCCAGGTAATATCCATACATACGCCATAGACAATAGCACCAACGATCTGAGCAAGGTAGTAGAGGAGGTTGTTCAAAGCCTTGGTGCGGGTATCAAAATGGGCACCGTTGACGCTATTCTGTTGGTAGGTTGTGAACCAGTTGGAGGACCAAAACATGGGGAATAGGAGGACGACCAGGGGCTCATGTCGAAGGGTCTCCCAGAGACCAATGAATTCCGATTGCCAGCTAGGATGTTTCATTAGAACGACCTTGGATCCATCGGGACGAATGACATCGTTGGCGTTGCAGAGAAGGAGGGCGAGGCATGCACCAAGGAACATGAGGATGATAAAGGCAATATAAGTACCATCTCCAACCGTCTTGTTGGCTGTAACATGGATATTCTGACCGAGTGGGATCTGGCGAAAAATGTTAGGATGTAGTTATAGTGTATGAAGCGCAAGTACACATATTTGGATGTAGACGCGATGGAAGAGAGGACCGGAACTTACCAAACTCCCAATAACAGCCCCCGCGTTGAAAATAGCCCAGAAAATGGCAAAAAACTTACCCTTGGAACTCTCCTTGGGATAGGAGATCATAATAGTTCCTTGGGCAGTCCAGAGAAGACCAGCGCATACTCCAAGAAGGGCACCAGCAAAGATGTTGAAACCGCTGACGTCGGCATGTACTGATGCGAGCAAAGAAATGGCATAGATGCAGTATCCAAGTCCACCAAAGGCAAGCGTGCCCTTGACACCAAGCTTGTTAACGAATGTGCCACCGAAGAAACCAAAGACTGCGAATGTGGAGTAGAGAGCCGTGTTCTGCAATCAACGTATTAATGTCAGCATTGTGAATATGACTGTATAGGGAAAGCGCAAGTGGCATATGTACGCATGAGTAGTACGAACCATATTATCGGCCAGTGTAGCGTCCGTCTTTCCTCCTCCTCCAAGACCACCCAAAGCGTTGAACATGCCCGGACACAGGAAACAAACGAAAGACACCATGATCAGCTGGAATCGCGGCGAGGCATACCAGGGAATGGTGAGAGGGCCAATCTTGCGAGCGCGCCATTTCCAACCAGCAGGGCGATCGGGAACAACGAAAGCAGTGTCGCCGATATCTACATTGTCATGCACAGGCTCTTTGTAGTCGTTTTCGACTTGAGGAGAAGCAGCGGAGGTTGGGACTTCAGAAGCCATGGTATGGGAAGATGCGAAGATGAGATCTAGAAGCGCCAGATAGGGTAGGGTAATGAAGATGCTGGGTTGTGTGGTCGTGTTCCAAGAGTTGGGTGAACTCTTCTCTTTTATCGTTGAAGTCCCCGAGGTTGAGTGTGAAAAGAAGCCTGTCTGGAGTCATATACGTACAGCCTTGGAGGCTGGTGAATGTGGCTTGGTGAGTCGGGGTGTAAGATAGAGTCGATCCGGGCGAAGAGTAGGATCGCAATTGCACCGCACTGTCGGTATTGCACGATTATCTTGTCTGGGCTGCAAGAAGAAGAGAGAAAGGCCGTCAGCAGAAATGGGAGGTTTGGAAATAATATAGTCGCCTGGCCTGCCCTCTCATCTTCCTTCGCGTGAGGGACGTGAGGGACGTGAGGTAGGGTGAGGTTACAGGGTCTAGTATGGTCTATAGCCGTCTACATGCAAGGATCAAGGCAAGAGAGTGAGATAAAGATAAGACTTTCTCACTAGAAGCAGAGAAAAACAAACGGGCCTTCTCCGCAACAAGCTGGGGTCTTGACGCTATCACCCTGGCCCTGGCTGGTCTATATCGCGGCTGAGGCGTGTGAATGGCTAAGCTCAGGCACTGACTGGCCTTGGGACGGACGACGGACGACGGAGGGATCTTACCCCAGTGGCTGGTTGCATATCGCCGGGCTGGTCCATGTAACGTGTGATGTTTTTGTGAATTCACACCTATCGTTGCGATTTAACTGAGAGACAGGTTCGAGAAGCTCCATGGAACTTTGGAAGGCCAAATTGTTGCAATGCGCAAGCTCTGAGTGGCAGTCTACAGTACCTTACTAATTAGCAGATCCACCTGCCTGGCAGGCTGGCTATGCTATCTGGGTCCCTTTTCTCGAGGTACAGTATCATTCTGGCGCAGCGCCGTCCATCTCATCTATGGCGTTGGATATTCACAAAGTGCCATTTTACTTGGTAAGATTCCAAAGTTTTACCAATCACAAGGTTGCACCGGCGTCAACCAACCACACATGGCATTGTGGGGGGCAAATTCCATCCCTCTTGTCGAGTCGCACCTCGTACAACGAGTAGGACAACTCTATCATCCTGCTCGTATTATTAGATAGGTTCTAACACGCTTATTTTACGGCTGCGGGGGAATCTGTTAAGAACCTCAAGGCAAGTAAGCTCCTAACTCGTATCGAATAGCCCAATTAGCAATCACCCTGGCAAGCCGAATGCAGCTACTCTATACTCCGTACTGTATAGTACTTGGAAGTACTCATATCTTGGCAATGCACCGCCAATTCAAGCCCAAGATTCCAATTGATGCCCTGCAGGGTTCACTTCCACTTGGCCCACAATTGATTATCATCGACAGATGGCGGTGGAGTGAGTGGCCTGCCTCGCCTGCGACATAAAAATGACTTCCAGCCTCCAAAGCTACCTTCCTCCCACGCGATAAAGATACCGTAGGTACGGAAGGTACTGTATGCTGTTGCTCTTCGGCACGGCACGTAAGCAAGGTTACAGCAGTACTTTTCTGGTTTCATGTGCATGTGCATGTCCCTTTGGATGTGGATGCTGAGTGCTGGTTACATGAATTACCGCTCTGTTCTGCTACTGTCCATAGATAGGCCTTGAATTAGTATTTGCAGCCTGCAGTACAAGATACAGAAACGCCATGTGCTGGTTCGGGATGTCGTGTGCTCTCATGTCAAAGTTGACAGGTGGGACCGAGAAGCTTGGACAACCAACCACCTTGCTGGGTTCGCATTTATTGATTTGCATGCATTTGGTATCGAGAGGTAGTGCGTGTGCAGTTCATCCCATTCCTTTGCATCCGAACAGTCCCTTATATTTCCCTTCATCCCTCGCACAACTCATACCTCATACCTCAAACCCTTTAATACCAACCTCAGTCAGTATCTTTTTCTTCCAACAAGTCGTACAGTCCCTCCCTTTCCACGACATAAACATCTGCCGTCAAATGTCCAATGATTGCGTTCCACAGCTTCGAGAAGAAATCTTTTCACCATCATTGGTCCTCGCCAGGCGATATCTAGATGCTTCAACCCGTGTTCAATCTCCACAATTTGCATCTGGCAGATGTAGTGCGAAGAGTTTCATGGCCTCTGCTGTAACTCTGAATAGATACAGCAGGATTACATCGGATGAGGCTGAGCTGCCCATGAGACGCTTTTCGCCAACCGAATATTACACAAGATGGACATCATACCATCACGCCTCTCTGCTACATCCATATAGGAGTAGGAGTAGCTAGGCGATATTTGACATGCCACAGCAATGCCGTGCTACGTCTATGCATGGCAGATGCAATTTGACCAACTTTTCCTTTCCTCGATGCATATTGTGGCAGTTTCATACAAGTCTCCCGATTTTAATTAACTGAACGCTATATATGGGCAATCAACGCCGTGCTTCTAAAATAAATGAGTCGGCATATAGGGGGCGATAACAGTCAGAACACGGCGAAGCAGCCATGCCTTAGCACTCGCAACAACGAATGGACTGTTGGTGCTCTCGTATTATCCAACTGCAACTGCCACTTCAGTTGGTATTGTAGGTCAATTCTACTTCCAACACAGCAAGGCTGGACCAAAAATGTCTCACCATAGCCAACACCATTCACATACATATTACGGATTTTTGGCTTACTTTACCAATTACCCATTCCAACATCCGAAGCTTGGCTTCGCCCCCACTCTGCCCCCACCACAAACCTCCGAAGGCAAGCCTCCATCTCCACCTCCATCAGCCTCCTAAGTCTGCGGTTCTTAATTTGCGGGGAAACGAAGCTGGCCTGGCTCAGCCTCAGGATCGCTTGCTCGGCACGAATGGTTACCTTTATGGGACAGGACGATCGCATCGTATTGCAAGGAACGGGATCCGCTTCCCAGTGGGCGATACGAGTACTACCTCCTCATATTTCATATTTCTCATATGCAAGTCTTCCCATTCATCCCCCAGGATCCGCATATGCATATGCAAGTCCTTCCCACACTGCAGTGCTCGAATAAGCACCTTGAAACGCGTTTCAAATTGGACTTTCAGAAGCATATCTAAGGCAAGCATGAAATGCAATTGTCGTTCTTTCATCTGCTGCGTAACATTCTATAGGTACTATTCTTCCGACTTGCAATTTCCGGGCCATTCTTCATCCATCTCATTCCTTTTCAAAATTCTAGGGCTAGAAGAGAGGGGAAAGGATGCTAAGCGTTAGTTGGTGCGAATACATACCATAGCATATCATCAATTTCTTCCTTCTATTTTTTACACTATCACACTATTACTAGGATAAGCAAATACGCTTAGAGCCTCCTTAGCACTACTGTATGTACTTTATTTTACTTTACTTTTACTTTACTCTACAACAAAGTACATTTACAGCATAAGCATCTACCAACCGTATCTCCCTTTCTTCATCATCACCTCACTTTATTTACCTCGCTTCTCAATTCATCACTTGGAGTTGCGTTCACGTACTGAGGTTGCTCCTGTGTAGGTATGTAGGTTCGTGCATTTATAATGTTGTTAAGATTTTCTTTCGGGTTATTAGGGGAACGTGGGGAGATAATAGGTTATATTTTATGTATATGAAGTTGGATTAGAAAGCCTGAATGATTTGGGGTTGGAAAGGAGGGAAGACGTCCGTTAGTACTTGTGAGGTGTTATAAGGAGTGTATATCAATGTAGAGGAGCAGGAATAGTTAATGTATTCATCGTTTGTCTGTTTATCTAGTACGGTATAGCGCTCATTAGTGTCTCTGGTCTACGATCTATTATACAGCTATACAGCATCTCTCATCCCAAACGCCTAAACACCCCTATCCCCATCCCCGCCCCCGCCTCCATGCCCTACCAGTCCCAAGATCACATCATAGTTTCCCTTTAAGCGGCAGCAGCAGCTTTACTATGCCTCTTCGTCTCCTCCATCTCCTCCCTCATAATCTCATTAAACTCCTCCCAGCCCTCCAGATAAAGATGATGCCCCGCTTTCTTGATAATCACCACCTTTGCGTTCCCATTCTCCTTCCTCTTCTCCTCTGCACTCGCGATTTCTAGTGCTCTAGCCTTTTCTTCCTTGAGTTTTTGCTCAGCTGCGAATCCACCGGCTACGTCCATCCAGTCGTTTTCGCCGTACATAAGGATGACTGGAATGCCGGTTTCTTTGGTGAGAGTGGAAGGAGATGTGGCGGTAGGTGACGGTGTAGGGAGACTTTGTCGGCCAACGCCTTGAATGCGTCGGATGAGTGGACTGCGGGCGAATGCGCCGGGAGCAAGAATATAGGCTAGTGCGTACTCGCCGCTACCTCTCTGGCGGAACAGGGAGTAGGCGTAGTCGTGCAGGGCTTCAGATTCTTGTTCAGGTAGATGTGAGAAGCGGCGGGATGTCCAGCCCGAGACGAAGCGTGGGCCTAGAGGTCCTGTCCAGCGAATAACACTGAATGGGGAGATGTTGGCGTCCCAGAGGTAAGAGAGCCATTTTGGGATGGGTCGACGGGGTGGTGGTGCTGCTGCTTCGGTGGGCTTTCGGCCGACATCTGCTTTTGAGCGAGCATTCAGGAAGTTATTGTTGTCGCCGTTGGTCTTTAGATTGCCGTTGTGCTGAACTGTTTCCTCTTCTTGGTCTTGTAGAAACTCAGATGCCATTGTTGAGTCTCCTGGTTCTGGCATTGCGGCATGTACTGCGTATGGATCTTCAGGTATCCCGACTGGTGAGGCCAGGACAAGCTTATTGAGATGCCCGGGGTACTTCAAAGCATATGCTACTGCCATGTAGCCTCCCATACTGTGTCCGAGCAGTGTGAACGTGTCGATCTTCTTCAATATTCTCCACTCCTCCAGTGCATCGATGAACCAGTTCTCCGCCTCGCTGATCTTCCCCGCTTGGTCCTTGGCGTGTACCTTAAAAGGTGGTCTACTACTTCTTCCCATTCCCAACATATCAAGAGCATATATCTTCCAGCCCTTTACTCTGCTCAATCCTTCAAAGTTCTTGTAGAAAAACCCAAGTCCAGCTCCATAACCATGTAGCATCACCAAGTTCTCCTCCACATCCTCGTTATCTCTCTGCACCGAGAACTCATTCAGCGCTCTGTTCTTCCCACTCAGTTGTACGAGTTTCGAGTGCCACGATCTTGGGCCATAAGGATCGTTTATAGAATTCGTCCTGACTGGCCTTGCAATTCGCTCAGGGTCCGTATTGATGGACATACTTGATTGTTGCGCGGATACAGGTGCAGATCCAGTTTGTGTATGGGTAGGAGGTTTCTGGAGATATGGGACGAAGGACATGACATTGTGTTCTGCAACTGCGGGTGAGATGCTCGCCCACCATTGACCGACTGCAGCTTTGTACCCCAGAGGGAAGTATCCTGGCTTCACAGGTGCCAATTTTGGTTGCGCTCTTTGCGAGGCCAACATTGGCTGTTGGCCTCGATTAGAGGAATCGGAGTTCTCAGCAGACATGGTGGAATACGTATTCCTTTTGGGCTTGGTGCAGGGAAGCCGTAGGTGTTTGAAGTGAGTTATCACAGTTCGTCTGGCGCATGCGTTGATGGGGATTGATCGCAAGAGCGACGGCAGACTGGGAGTGGGACACAACGTGGAAGATGGAGGTTGAGAAGCAGGAGGACTGCCTCTCGTGTCTTATGTGTGAATGAAATTTGTTTGGTCTTGGAATCGGACTTAGGCAGTCATTAAGTGCGTGGCACCTGCGGACCCGAGTATCGATGATGATATTGTTGTACCTAGATGGTGTTGTGGCGATTCAACGAAATCGCCAATTGGCGGACGAAGAAGCGGTAAAAGGTGATTGGTACAGTATCAAATAAGTTCAATATTGGCAACACTATACTCCGCATAGAAAGTCACTATACACATCAGTTCCGAACGGCTCAAAACCCGCGGATTTGCTGGTGTTGCGTGGACGTGTCAGTCGGCTCAATCTGGTGGCCGACTCTTGCAACAGCGACAGCGGAGTTTAAAAGTTCCTACTCCGAGCACTGTGAAAGCGAATGCGAAAGAAAGGGCCAGGGGTTATCAACTCGAGTTTGAGTACTGCAATGATTAAAAATAAAAATAAAAATGACCACTGCGTACCTGTACATATAGTAAATTTGTTGTGAAGGCACATGTCTAGGGTTCCTAAAGAAAGTTGTTCCTCCCCCATCCATCCTGAACTCATAACCGCGGCTTTTCAACCTTGCATCGTAGAACAACAAACGAGTTTTGCAAAAATAGCAACTCTCAACTCTCAACCTCACAGTAACAGTCTTGACCCACGAATACATATTCTTGAAGCTACAACCATCAAGATGATATCATAGCAGTCCAGAATCGCACATCCACCATGAAATAGCCAAGACTCAACCTCGCGCGCAATGTCGAAACTAGACCAACTAGTCAAAGGCGCCCCTCCTCCTGAGAATAGATACGATATCTCCTCAACCACTCCGATCATTTCTACAGAATCACAGACTTCGCCGTCAGTGCCAGATCCACTAGCATCTCTACCCTCGTCCCCCCCACAAATCTACCTCAACCTCTTGATCCTCGAAGCATCGCTCCGAGTACAATGGCTCCAACTACGAACTAGACGACGACAGCACACATTCTTCTTGATGCTCCTTGGGCTGTGGAATATATATTTTGGATACGCATTGTTTCTTAAACCGCGCGAAGATGGCAGTGGTGTCGGAGGGTCCGTATACTGGGTGGTGGAGGTGGTTGAGAAGGTCTGTTTTATGGGCGGCATCTTCACCGGAATATTGATTTGGGTTACTGGACAATGGGAACGAGGGATACGATATCCCAGGAGATGGGTCTTTACTACGAATAGGGGATTGAGGGGCTTCAACTGCAAACTGGTGGTCATCAAACAGCATTGGTGGAGTGATATCATATCTACGCTGGGCTTCTTGTTCTCATATGGACTGTTTTCTGGCAACAACGGGACCTCGTATCGATTTGTTGACCATACACTACTAAAGGATTCGGAGAAAGGGCAACGGAATGGAGGAAATAACGTGTTACCGAACATAAATGAGCACGATGATCTTGGTCACGAGGAGGATTTGGCAGACGGCGGGGATTATGTGCAGCTTTTGTTATTGCCGAAACCCTTTTCTGCAACTTTCCGCGAGAACTGGGATATATTCCGCTCGGAATACTGGGAGAAAGAGAATGAACGGAGAGCAGGATTGCGGAAGATCTTCAAAGCAAGAGACAGGAAGGTTGCCAAGGAAGAGGGAGGTTGGCTATGGTGGACAGGCTATCGGGGTTTCAAGCGTGGAAAGACACCTGATATTGAGAAGATTCATCATTCTGTTCATCGACATGGGACTGTTGAGAAAAGACCTCGTAGCGGAAGCATTCGGTCTGGCTCTCATTCCAGGAACTCTTCACGAAGTACCACGCCTAGTGCTGAGCCAGAGGAGTCTACTGGAGGACACAGTCGCGCAGGGAGTACTGCTTCGGACCGAAGGAGAAAGAAGAGTACTGCTGCTATTGGAACCAGAGTTCAGAAGCTTTCACCTTCCGGATCTCGCTCTGTAACTCCAGACGTTCATTCTCCTCTGGCAAGAGAGAACAGCTATACAAGTGTTTCTTCCTTGGATAGCGAGCGTTATGGAGTTTCGGGGGGTGATGGGGATTCTACGAGATCACTAAAGCCAAAGCCTGCCCCGTCGAGGAAGCCTGGGTCTAGTAAAGGTGCTAAGTAGACGTAGGCATTAGTGCACCAGGTGTTGTGATAATATCAGATATTGTACTGTCCATCATTACTCGACCGATTCATTATAGAGGTTGAACTATGCCTGTCCATTCTATAGAGCCTCTTTCATTAGACTATCAATAAAGAAACCATTGCACCTTAGTGGTCCTTTGCATACGGACTAAGGCACGTGCCTGGTTTGGTGCTAGAAAATGCACCGACCGAAACCAGAATAGCTGACTAAGCTAGCACCTGCCTAGTACTAGTCCTCTGACCTCGATTCATCGTTGTTTCTTTAAAGTGTCCCCTCTTCTAAGAAAATGCAAACCAGATGATTCTTAAAATATTGGATCAAGCCATCCAGCTACAGCGCGGTGCGCATGTGCATGTGCAACTGTATCGCATTTCTGAAATTCAGTGAATCGCCTTTCGTACCTGATATTTCCTCAGCCTTGCGCTTCCGCGCCCGAAACTCGATTGCAATATACTGTACCGCTACTCATTGCCACATATGGATCCAAGTCAACAACAGCACCTCCGGAGTCTGCTGGGACAAGAGAATTTAATGCCAACCATGTACAACATGAAGACCAGTGAACCAACCCTACCCTCTTACCCACGATCTGGATACGATATGGTGACCGCATCTGAACTCGTCGGAGCTACCCCCTCAGGCGCATACTCATGGCGTGTAAGTAGATAGTGCCCACGCGGGGAAGTACATTTAGCGCTAATATTTGTATGCAGCCTCCATCGCCCCCTCATATTCACGTCCCGCAAGCTCCAGAAGACCAGAAGTTTGTCCTGCCCGCCTACGACGACACCTCTGCCCAGGGAGCAGATCGAGCTATCCTTAAAAGCGTGACTGAAGGAGATCATGTTTCAGTCGCGACAAGGGATTGGAAGTACGACTGGCGTAGAAAGGCTCAACCCATCCTCTCATTCCTTCACTTGGGTCCGTCGTCTGCAGCTCGCGATATCACATACATCCAAACACAGGGCATCACCATGTTGTTGGTCATTAGAGATTCGCGATCTGCGAATGCTAGACTTTTGAGTGGTGAGAAAATCGCACGGCAATTAGGCATTGAAGCAGCCGCTATCGACGTCGCAGACTATCAGGAGCTCATTGCGGCATTCCCTCGAGCCATTCAAACTATCAACAATCACCTCATCTCAGAATATCGCAAGCATAACCCCTCTGGCCTTCGTCAGGGTACCAAATCTCGAACACCCTGGGGAAAGGTGCTGGTTTTTTGCGAATCCGGCAATGAACGCTCGGCTGAGGTTGTAGCAGCCTATCTCATGAGCATGTACCGCCTAGACCTAATTGCTGCGATCCAATATATCCAAACTCGGCGCTTCTGTGTCGCCTTTGACGACAGTATGAAGAACCTTCTTCTCAACTACCAGCAGCTTTTGGAGGCAAGAAGGTCGGTTGCAGGTGCCACCTTGACCCAAACAGTGCTGAATGGAACCAACAACGGAATTAGTCAGTCGAAAGCTAAAAGAGGCAGGGAAGAAGTCGAAATAAATGATGAGGGCATGGACCTGGATGATGCTGATGACGAGGCAAGATTTATGGGACGCACTACATTCGTTCCATTCACGTGAACTATGGCATAGAGAGCTGTATATTGTACGACATGGGTCACATCAGGTGGGAAGGAATATGGTTATGGAAATGGAGTTTGGGGGACTGCACCTGGTGTACTGATAACGGCGTTTTCCTTTAAATACCCCAAATGGCGTAGATGGCTCCATTTCAAATTTATGGTAGGTGCATGTTTGCTAGTAGCAAATGAATGCATTACAAAATACACTTTCAAAATCTCTATCAATGTGAGTAGCTTTTGTGGTTGTGAATTTTACTCTCAAGTGACTACATGCGTGCTCTTAATGGGATCTGAATGTTTGCACTGGGGCGCTTTTTCTCTGCCACCATTCTTTGAGGTTTCATCTTGTGAAATTCATTCGAGATTTGAAGGGATTTCACTTTTAATGAACGAAGCCAAGTCTTGCTCAATTGTGAACCGACAAAAAGAGTCCCCGTACCGCAGTCACAAAAGTGAATTACAAGGCTATTAGCAACTTATCAAATCCTCTTTACCCACTTCCTATGCTCATATTTGAACAGTCAATAATTCACCGCCGTCTCGATATTGCATACATCTGCCATTCACCAATCCATTGTGCCAAGTCCAACCGCAATATCACATTATGCTGTCTCGCATTAGCACTGACAATCCACACGCGTTGTTTGCTTTGCTTTCGACATACTTCAAAAACAAATGGAGCTAAGATCTATAACGCGTCGCCCACTTCGATATCGCGACGACGACAAGATCGACGAATACCTACCACCCAAACCCGTCTTTATTCTCCCTATCACTCCATACGATCCAACACTGCCGCCTGCCGCGTTTCCTACCATTCCTTTGGAGGCATATCCACAAAACGATACGGAGGATTCGTATTCTTGTAACAAGTGCGAAGAAGAGCCGCTACAGCTGGTGCACCGCCCAGCGAACGAGATGGAGAAAGGCTTGGGGTTTAGGTGGGAGGCTGTTGGGGAGCCTGGGAATTTCAATCGCTTGTTTGGTGATGAAGTTGCACCACGCGCTCCTTTTCTGAAGGGGTATCCGGCGAATGGTGGGGAGCCTGTTGAAGAGGAGTATGATGGATGGGTTCCGAGGGATGTTAAGAACACTGAGGGCCAAATGGAGACGAGAGAATTCGTCAAAGCCTACGAAGAAAGCGATGTTCAATGGGTTAGCATTTCAAACGGCATGAAGCTCATCGTCTTCCGCGAGTTGACTAGAAGCATGTCTTTACAATGCGTCAGCGACTTTCTAGACCTCTCGGGTGAAGAGAACGAAGATTTTGCCAAGCTATATGACCAGGAGCTGGCGCTCAGTGAGAAAGAAGATATTATCCTCGAGCGAATTAGACATCGGCAACTTGCATTGCTAATGAGCAGTCCTCAAAACACGGCCGAGGAGTGGGAAGCTATTTGGGAAGAGGAATACGGCCGCGTCTCACTTGGACAATCTTCTACATTCTCTATCAGCAAAGCAGACATTCAACTCACCAAGCGCTTCCTTTATCACTTACCGGTTCAGGAGAATTTTGATGTTGGATATGAGGGACGCGAACGTCTTCCAACTGAGCTTCAGTTGATGGCAGTTGTCTTGAGAATTGAGGGATACGAAGGCACCAGTACTACTTTCTTTGATCTCGACTTTGATGACTTGGACGAAGAAGACAGTGTTGATGACGGAACTGAGCCTGAAGGGGGAAACAAGAACTATGTTGTACATAATGAAGCTGAGGATGTGGTGATTGTGGAGCCTCCTGCCAGTTCTTTCAATCAACACCCTGCGGTTTTCTCGAACTTCTCACGCCCTCTTGTCGCACAAAAGACCCAACGGTCACATAAGAGACCTCTCGGTCGCCCGGTTTTCTCGGAAACAGAAGACGCTGAGGTGGACACAGCTCCTCCAAAAGGGACTTCCCCAGAAGACTCAGACTACGATACCGGCGAAAGTTCCGACACCGAAGATGAAGACATTCTAGCCGCTGTATCATCTCACACTGCTACCTCCAGCCGCGATATTCTTAGAGAGAAGAGGCGCAGAGGACGCCCGAAGGGATCATTCGGCACTCGCAACAAGAAGCAGTTGAGCCCCCGAAAAAAGTTCGCCAGTCTGGCCGAGTTTGATGAAAACACGGACCTCAAGACACCTCCTTATAATTTGCTTCGGCGACAGAAAAAGACGCATGGCCCCACGAAGGTGGTAATGTTCAAGGTTAATCCATCGAAGTTGAAGCAAGTTACAAATGCGTCATCTCCAGCTAGCTCTCCTGGTATGCCTCCAGGCGTCTTCGCAACACTTCCTATGCCATCGACAGCTCGTTCATCACATACTTCAAACAAACCATTGAAGGATACTTCCGTGATCCCAGGAAGGTTTTCAGAATATGTTCAAGGCAAGCCTGCTGAGCCCCCCAGGAAACCTCGAACTGGTAGTGATACTCCTCAAATTCGCACCAAGCCAAGTCCGCAAGTCGCCAATTCTCAACTAGCTAGACCCAAGTCACAGGCCCATGCCCAAGGCTTCGAATCACTTAGTGCACCCAATCTTCCATCCATGGGAACACCACGAACTCAGTATACAAGCCCTCCTTTGACTCAAACCCACAGTAGCCAACGTACCCCATCTCTACCACGGTCTGCGACACATCTATCCAGTTATGTTACAAACAATACGCAACCCCGACAACAAGGAACAGTCTCAGCGCCGCCAGTTGCAGACTCAACTACTATTAAGTCACATATGCGGCCTGAAAGCTCACACCACCCCCACCATCAAAACTCTCGCCATTACACAGGATCACCAACGAGTACTGCCTCGGCCACAGTAGCTCCGCCAAATCGGCCTTCAGTCCATTTCGATCCTACAACTACAATTTCTCCTATCGGAAGTAAGGACAGGGAACAAGATGTAGCTTCACATCAGTACCTACACCGGGGTGTCATTCCGGGGCCAACAACCCCTATACCGGTAACTGCCGCCTGGAATCATATTCCTCGTTCTCGTATCCAGTCTACTCCTGAATCTGCGGCTACTCGGCCCTCACTGAACCCGAGACAAAAGTCGGAACCGGTCCCATTTATGGAACAACCTGTATCGGGTAGTTTGGCTCCGTCTACCGTATTCAATCATCCTGTAAATAGCCAAGTTGTGAACGAACCTGGACGTCATACTTACTACCCGGGCATGAACTCGAACAGCCCTCACCAGCAGCAAATCCTAAACTCGGCACAGACTCATATTCCGCATGACCTGTATTCATCAACTTCGACTAGTACAAATCAGTTTCATAGTTTAGCTCAACCTCAATTATATGGACTTTCCCAGGCTAGGCTTCAAGCTGAGGCTACGATCCAGAATAGCAACGCGTATATGCGGTCTTTACCAGGCGCCCACAACTCGGCCTCTACTCCACTTTCTGCTCCCGTTAATACAAATCACGATGTGTCGCAGCTTCCAGCCAATACTCTCATTGCTGCTCTTGGGGTTATCTTTGAGGGAGCCAATTCCGAGCATCAACAACACCAACAGATGCCCTCCGACTTATTCAGATCTACTTTTGCTTCCCCTCATATGCAGAACAATTTGCATCAGCGACATTTCAATACCCCACAGCTTGACACAATAACGAGTGTGCCTCCAGAGCAAAATTTGTCTACTTTGCCTCCTCAAAATTATACTTTTACCTCAGCTACACCAGCAAACTCTCGTTCAACAATCAACACCAGCCAAGATAGTGGTCAGGGCTTTGATACTTCACCTTTTGCACGACGGCAAACCTCATGGGCGACCAATCCCCTCAACACAGCTATTCAAAATACTACAGAGGTAGTAGATCTAGAGCGAGCAGTAAGTCCAACCAATGGCTCGTCTAATAATAATGGGCGGCAGAATTTTGCACCAACAATCAAGTATGAGAAGACTAGTCCTAGTAAAGCCGCTCTTGGAGAATTGGAACACGATACGATACCAATTTCAACCCCAACAGGAGCACTTCCCATGTTCCAAAGAAGATTTCCTGCCAGTTTACCGGGGCCGAATATTGTTGGCGGTTTTGATTTGGGCACCAATTATCCTAACACGGCACAAAATTATGCTATCACCCCCCAAGGGCCCAAAATACAAGCTGCGATAACTGGTACCATTGGTGTCTCTTCGACTATGCCACGCTCGAGCTCTGCTACAATCTCTACCTTGGAGCCACAAGTATCTACATATGCCCAGGAAAAGCCAAACGCAGAAACTGTTGTTACTTCAGACAGGCCTTTTCTTGTCACTGATGATAGCACTTCCAATACACCGCAGCCGACTCCAAACTCCGCTTCATTCTCGAGACTTCAACCTACAGTATCTACCACTACTGTCAACGGCTCTTCTTTCTCTCAAAAGTTAGTTACTGGAGAAGCAAGATACTCCCCGGCTAGGGCGCACGCGCCAAACACTTCCCCAACGAATCTTTCCCACGCTCATCCCACAAACAGCGCAATGCCCTCTGAACTCACGCAGCCGCCGGTACACTCTCGTGTCCCAGAAAGAATATCTTCCGAGACTGCACCAGTAGATACTGAAACAACGTCTAGCTCTGTGCAGGAGCTTCCAAAGCCTACTTCTGCAGCAAAACCTCGTCTTAAGGCTGCACTACCAGGTAATGCACCATCAGATACAGCAACGGCTTCGAGCTCTACACAGCAACACCAAATAGTTGCAGTCAAACCTTATTTCAAAAAGGCAGGTCATGATACCAGAGCCGCGAATCCTCCAGTAGTACCGAAAGCCACCAGAGCACCACCTGTAGCCAAGGACAGTAAAGTCAAAAGACCTGAAACCGCACCACAGACTTTCAAAGCATCGACTAGTAGCGCACCACCAGGGGAGAGCAAGCCAGTCAACCCCCGACTAGCGCCAAAGATGACCAAGAAGCCACCTCCTGCTAGGAAAGCTGCCACCAAGCCAGCAGTCTCTCAATCATTTGTCGAAATACCAGCCAAAGCAGCCCCAGCTCCACCACCAAAGCCAGAG